AAACCCAGAAGCTGGGTTCCTTGCAAAACCTTGCAGCGATCCATGCAATATACACTTTCTGGGTTCCACCATTGCAGACGATGATTGGGTTTTGATTTCACCAATTTCCAAAGACTGAAGACACAAAATTTGCAACAAATCCACCGCTAAAATCATTAAAAAAAAAAATCAAGCTTCATAATCATCATAATCAAAATGTGCTTCTTGCTTCTTCAGCATCTTTATGGGAACAATCAAAGAATCAAGTTTTATCATCATCCTTCGGGAGGCAAGGAGAGAGAGGCTTGAGTTTAGAAAGAAATGTAACCAAGAAAAATTGCAAGAAATAAAAGCAAAAACTCAGAAGAAAAAAACTGAAACAAAATCAACCAATCACCGAATCAAAATCCATGGAAAAGAAAAGAACCCAGCTTGTGGGTTCACTAAATAGTTTATTTTTACACCTAACATTTAATTTAATAGTTGATTATGTTTAATCTATTAAATTTTATTTAATACTTAACACATTAATTAATATAATTACATTATTTATTAATATATTTAACTAATTTAAAACTTGATTTTATCGAAAAAAAAAGTGAATATGCATATGAAACTACATAGACATTTCATATAAAGTTATCACAATTTTTTGTTAATAGTTGACTTTTTAAATTAAGAGTCGACTATTTTCAAATAAGAGTAGACTCTTTTCCAATAAGAGTCGACTATACACAGCACTCAGAACGTTCTCAACTTCCTGGAATTTGGGAGTCAAATGTTTACCATATATAGTTGACTCTTAAATGCTCGAGAGTCGAATCTTTGTTCTTAGATTCAACTTTTTATTTAAAGGTATATATATAATGGCCTTGACCAACTACTAGTCAAAGTGGTAATATCAACAACAAGGGAGATGTTGCTAATGCTTGGTTGGTAAAATGATAAGAATAACAACAACATGATATATGTTGCTAATACTTTAAGTGTGGTTAGAAAAGTTTCAGCAACATAGCTCTTGTTACTGAAAGTTACTTCAGCAACAATGGATATCTTGCTAAAAATGGAGCTAAACTAGATGGGGAAATGATTACCGAAAAATATCACCAACATGGGGTATGTTGCTGAAATTTACTTTTAGCAACATATTCTTTGTTGTTGAAAGTGAAGCAACTTTTTAAGGAAAAAATGTATATACAACTTTCAGCAACATAAGTCTTGTTGTTGATACAAATTTTCAACAACAAAAGATCCCATGTTGCTAATATATTATCGCTGAAGGCTTGAATTTTAGTAGTGAATTGTCATTTTTTATTGTTAGGCAACACTAAATTTATATTTTTAGATAAAATATTATGTAAATAGGTGTTGTGTATATCAATCACAAACTAAACTGTATATTAATTTTCTTTCTCTGAAGAGGAAATACGGGAAGCAGTATGGGGGTGTAATGGAAGCAAAAGCCCAGGACCAAATGGCTTTAACTTCAATTTCATTAAAAGAATGTGGCCAGCATTAAAAAAGGACATATGTGACTATGTGACAGAATTTCACACAAACGGCAAGCTAGCTAAGGGGAGTAATGCCTCATTCATTGTTCTAATCCCAAAAAAGGAGGACCCTCAAAATCTGGGAGAATACAGACCAATCTCCCTTATCGGCTGCATCTATAAAATCATTGCTAAAATACTAGCAAACAGATTAAAGAAAGTGATGGGCCTGCTAATCGACCCCCACCAATCAGCATTTATTGAAGGCAGGCAAATCACTGATGGCATTATCATACTTAATGAGATGGTTGATGAAGCCAAGAACAGCAAAAAGTCGATCTTGATCTTCAAAGCAGACTTTGAGAAGGCATACGATAGTGTAAATTGGAACTTCCTCAATAGCATGATGAGTAAGCTAGGATTATGCCCTAAATGGAGAAATTGGATTCAAGAGTGCATTTCATCAGCAACGGTCTCAGTCTTGGTAAATGGCAGTCCCACAGAAGAGTTCATAATGGAGAAGGGACTGCGGCAAGGGGACCCCTTGGCCCTATTCTTGTTCCTCATGATTGCAGAAGCTCTAAACGGGCTAATACTAAAAGCAGTGGAAGACAACTTGTTCAGGGGGGTTGAAGTGGGGAAAAGTGGCTTGAAAATCTCACACCTCTAGTTTGCGGATGATTCTATATTCCTTTGTGAAGCAACAGACCAGAATGTGGCGACACTAAAGAGTGTTCTGAGATGCTTCGAATTGTTATCAGGCTTGAAAGTAAACTTCTTCAAGAGCTCCCTCATAGGTCTGACTATGGAAACAGACGAGTTGGATAAGTTTGCAGAAAAGCTGAATTGTGTTACAGGCCAAACTCCTTTCAAGTATCTAGGGGTGTTGATTGGTACAAACCCGAAAAGAACATCCTTATGGACTCCGGTGGTAGAGACTATGCGAAAGAGATTATCAAACTGGAAGAGGGATTCGTTGTCTTTTGGCGGACGCATCATTCTTCTAAAATCTGTCCTCTTAAACATCCCTGTCTATTGCTTCTCAACCCACAAAGCACCAAAACAGGTAATCCTTTTACTTACAAAAATTCAAAGGAATTTCTTATGGGGAGGAAGGGAAGGAAATAGGAAAATAGCTTGGGTTAAATGGGATAATATCTGCAAGAGTAAGTTAGAAGGGGGGATAGGAGTCAAAGAGCTAAGTAAATTTAACTTAGCCTTACTAGGGAAGTGGAGGTGGAGATTACTAGTAGAGAAAGAGGCGCTATGGAAACAGGTGCTGGAAGCCAAGTATAGGATGGATAGAAGAATAGCGTGGGAAGGCGGTAAATGGAGAGGGTCAGTTTCAAAATGGTGGAAAGAATTATGGGAACTAGACGGGGCAATAGGTGGAAGAGAAGGATGGTTTAAGGAAGGGGTAGTTAAAAAAGTGGGTGAAGGAAAGGATACTCTGTTTTGGCATGAAATATGGGCAGGGGACAAGCCTCTAAAGGAGAAGTACAGTAGATTGTTTAGCCTGTCTAGGGATAAAGATGCTGTTATTACAGATATGGGTAGTTGGAATAATAAGGAATGGATGTGGAATTGGAGATGGAGAAGGTGTCTCTTTGCATGGGAAACCAACTTGTTGCAGGAACTACTCTCGCTACTTCAACGAATACAACTAACAGAAGGCGAGGACGATAAATGGGTGTGGAAGTATGATCCAAAAAGCTCATATACAGTGAGATCAGCCTAGACAATTCTAAACCAGAGTCAAGAATTCAGCCCAAACTCACATTACAAGTTGATTTGGAACAATAAATTGCCACTGAAAATCTCTGCGTTTGCTTGGAGAGCATTACAAAATAGGCTCCCCACCAAGGATAATCTGTTGAAAAGACGAATGATTATGGAAGCAACAGCAACAACATGCACAGTTTGTGGAGATAAGACTGAAACTTCAAAACATATCCTCTTCTCATGCTCAAACTCATGGAAAATATGGTGCCTGTGCTATGATTGGTGGGGCTTAAAAACGGCAGCACTTGAAGGAGGATGGAATCATCTTAAGCAGCACATGGGCCTCGTCAACCCAGGAATAGCCAAAAAAGTCTGGGCAATTATTTGGTTTTTCACAGTATGGTCTATATGGTTATCAAGAAACTCACTCATTTTCAAGGGGGAGACCTTGAATCCCGAAAAGGTGCTTGATCTTATCAAATTTTGCTCTCTCACATGGATTAAAACAAGATGGATCCCTGATTTATCCCAACAAATCTGGTTTATTAATCTAAAGGAAGCTTGCAGGGCCTCAATTGATAAGACACCATTTTGTACAACAGGAGGGTAAGGGACCAGTTTATCTAAGGATTCTGGGTTCCGAATATGTAAGAGCTAACCCCTCAAAATCTTTATCCTCCTATTTTGTAATGTGACGGGTTGAGGTACCCCTTGTACCTCCGTAATAAACTCTTCTTTTGCCGATAAAAAAAAAAACTGTATATTAATTTTTTTTCTATTCAAACCTTTGTTTGATTAAAGATGACAGTTATTAATTGTTCTCTAGATAACCCAAACATGCCTTTAATTTGGGTTGGATGTTTTTTTTTGTTTTTTTTTGGGTAGAATTTGGGTCGGATGTTGCTATTGTAAAAATGGCATTTGAACATAACAAAAAAGGAAAAAAAAAATGGCATTTGATTAAAACCTTTTACAAAAGTGCTCAATCATGATTTTTACATAAATTAATTAAAAATAATTTTAAATTTTGATTAATTAAATTCAAAATTTTAACCGAACTTGTCTTTTAAAAATTATAAAAATTGTAACTATAACTTAAATTTCTAATCTATAAAAATTGAAATTAAAATTTTAAATATACTCTTTTGGTTTACATTTCAAATCATATTAGATTGTAGAATATGATTCTTTAGATAGGTGAAGAAGATCTAATATTAAGGGCCCTTTCTTAATGTAATTGTTTTGTTGTCTAAATTGTAAAATAATTATTTATTTTAAACATGCAAAGACACTTTTTTCAATAAAAATAAAAAAAGTCTTGCCCTTAAATCCTTGAGCAAAAATGAGTTAATGTAGAAATTCTATAATAGGATATCACATCCACTAATGTGAATGGTTTTCACTTACATATATTTATTTTAAATTTCATAATAAAAAATAATACTCACTCTCTCTTGGCAAATTTTATTTACATATTACTTGAAGTGAAGCTTTTTATTTAAAAAAAAATTATTTTTGAGCTATTGCAATCAATGAAGATTTTCATTTTTTACTAAAAAGATTAATTTATTATAATTATTATTTAATTACAAGTGGCAAGCATATTTGTTGGTGTGTCACACTGCCACCACTCACCCCATTAATAAACAAAAATATCATTTATGTTCAGCCGTTGTATAGCTAATGAAACAAAGCATTTATTACACGCTTGGCTTTGTAGTTTGATTGGTAACGACATGTATCACAAGGTCAATTAGTAATAACGTGTATCATCCCGCCCAATCCCCCTCCCTAAAAAATGCTCTTTGATAAAAATGAAACAAAGCATTTATTAATCCAAAGTACTGTACTGACAAAAAGCATAAAAAATCTGAACCGTCGAATTCTAAAAGAAATTGAGTAGTGGGCATATGCGGATAGAATATGAGCCAGAATCTCACAACTCATAGTAAAGCCGCCTACACTGGACCAGACCTCTCAGGAGTGCCCAATAATAGCCACCGCATTTTCTGATCTCTGTGGTGCGCACTCTTTGTACCAAGAAATTGAAAGAAAGACCAGAAAGGCTTCTCACTTTCTCCATCGGTCACTCCCACTCTTCTGCAGCAAAGGTAAAATCCTACTTATCTAATTCAAATCCAAAATCGTCATCCTTTTTCGTGGAAGTCTAGTGCTTTCTGGAGCTTGAAGAAAATAACCCACTTCTCAAATTTTGTCCTTTTGTGCTCCCTGTTCTCAGGTATTAATGGCTTCCATTACTGCAAGCTTGTCTCCATTGTTTGTGCAGGGTAGAAAAACCCCTTCCAGAACTGTTCAGAAACTTCCCGTTTCTTCCTTCAGAGGTAAGCCTTTTACCTATTCTGATACAGCTTTAGGAGGTTTTGTTTTCTTTGATGTTCTCGTCTTTGTGTTTCACTCCACTTGGTCACTTAGATGGTTTTTAACTAGTAAGAACTTGAGCTTCAATTATGACAGTTTCAATCGGAGATTATTGGTTTCAGTTCATGTCAAATGTGGTAGCATAGATTTTCATGTTTGAATAGGCAGCTTTAGAAGAGGAGAAAAGGGTAAGAAACAATTGTTCCCACTAAAACATTAGTTAGTTTTGGTAGATTGTAGAGTTCAACAGAAATTTGGAGCAGGTGCTCGGTTTCAAATTCGGATTTGGGTTTAGAGATCAACATAAAATTTGGGTGAATCATTTGGGAATTGGGTCAAAATAGCTACATTTTCCATTTGACAATATGGTAAAAGAAAAAAGGTTCCCGATGGGAGATTAGTGGGAAACCTTAAAGTTATGAATTTGGAGACTGAAGATTGTCTAGGCCATTGTTGGTGTTACCTTAATATTAATAACAAAAGCAAAAACAATATTGGGGCATAGCTGAAGTTCCAATGATTACTTAGTGACACGAAATCCATGGGCGAGGTTCTTGTGGAAATCATGATTTATTTAAGTTATGAGGAGGGTTTGAAGGTTGGTTATAGAAGTGATTGGATTTGGTGTTATGCATGGTCTGCTTTATTCATGAAAACTGTGTTTGTTTTTGGCTCTAAGTATAATTTGGTAATTAGGATTGATGGTCTTGACATTCCATGCTTTTGTTAACTTGTCCTCAGCTCATGATTTTATTGTGTGTTGCAGAGAGAAAAAATCATGCTTTTGTTATGAAGGCATCAGGGGAAAGCTCTGAGTCTTCTACCTCTCTCACTATTGTTAAGTCTGTTCAAAATGTTGTAAGTCTCTAAGTAAAAGTTGTGTTGGTACCTGAATTCAGCTTTTCTTATATCTCCTTCATCATCCCACAGTTATTTCTTTCTTCTGTACACTTCCTACAAAAAGGAGTGCTTACTTAAATTTCATTGTGCACTTTGTTTGTGATATGAATTCAGTTTGCAAGACTATAAGAAATCATATGATTTTACCATGTGTCTATTCCCTGCTCTTATAAGTACTTTCTTTAATCTTCATATTACGCAAGTTTTATGTGCTTTTATTCACATGCACCAATTTTTCTTCTCATTTGGTTTGTAATTTTGTTTTGACTAGTGGGACAAGTCTGAAGATCGATTGGGTCTTATAGGTCTGGGGTTTGCAGCTATAGTAGTTCTATGGACATCACTTAATCTGGTTTCGGTAATATGATGCATTTTTATCCATCATTATTAATTGAATTGTGCTCCTTCCTTATTTGATCACTAGAATAGAATATTATCTGTTGAAGTTATTGCAAGTTTGCTCAAGTTCTCTTATCGTAATGTTTGCCTTCACTTGTCAAACTCGCTAATAGCTTCTCCACTCCCTCCCTGTCCTCTCTCTCTTAATAGGCCATTGACAGGTTGCCACTTATCCCAAGTGCTCTAGAATTGATTGGGGTTCTGTTTTCAGCTGTAAGTAATGTTGCAAATAGAATAATCTTGTTTGTAAGTATTAAACTGCTCATTCTAATACTAACTTAAAACTCTTGTCCCTTCCAGTGGTTTACATATCGCTACCTCTTATTCAAACCTGATCGGTAAGCAAATTCAATGACTTTTACAGTTTCGTAGCTAGTGAAACTATACGAAGACTTTGTTATTTGGTCACCTTCAAGATAAAGCTTGCAGTTTATGAAGCCTTAAAGTTTTTTGCAGTTAGCAGCAAACCTAACTAAGATCTTCCTTTCAGGGAAGAGCTAATCCAAATCATCAAGAAACCAGTATCAGACATACTGGGACAGTGAATACTGCTGCATGATATAATCTTTATTCCCCACGGATTGGGGTTTGATGATTAATCTGTATCACAGTGCCAATTAAAAGACAGACAGAACCTTCATATCATGTCGGCTTATGGAACACATGCATGTAACCTTTTGAACGGTTGATTAAGTTTCTATTAATATTCAATCATAATAGATCGTAGCAGTCAGGTTAACTGTTCTGACATTTTCTTTATGTTAACTGGAAAATGAGGCAAGGCGTATGCATATGAAATTAAACTTTCTATGCAGTTATTTGCCTGTTCAACATGTGTGCAACCTTTTACAGCTTACCTTGATTGAATGTGAAGATTTCTTCCTTGCAGATCTTATAGCATATTCCAGACCATGAGTTTAGGATATAATTGCATGTTTTCTTCTTCTAATGCACATTTCTGTTCAGACTCCAATGGTAGGATTGCTGCCTTGAAGAAATTGTCCACCCATCACAGCTCTAGCTGATGGAAAGCAATTAATTTTACAAATAAGCATCATCAAAGAGTTAGTTGACGAAAGTGTTAGATAATAAACAATTAGAGCTTAATACACGGATTAGCTCAGGCAAAAATGCAATCACCTTGGTTTCTGAATTAAGGAACAATGGAAACCATCATGCAGTTTAGTTCTAAAGCAAATGTGTAACTCATTTATGAAGAATCATGTAACACAGTTGGCATAGATGAAAAGCAAGTTGTTCTCTTAAACCTAAAAAATGAAACAAGCATAATTGCTTTCAATTTTGGAAGTTCAAGAGATTTGAGTCATTATGAATTCTTTAATTCATAATGCTGGAATGAAGCGATTTACTTGATGGTCAAATGGGTAGCCAACATTACGACAACACTGCTAACAAATCACAGATATGCTTCTCATTGGTTTCCTGATTGGTTTTACTCAGGATACCATAAAAGATAAGCTGCAGAGAATCTCACCCTTCTTGTTTGTAAATGTTATGAGTTTCTCAAGACAGTCCTTGAAACTAGCCAACACACGTCCCTCCAGCTCTGCAAAGGCACTATCCCAGCCATGCCTTAGAATCTCACCTTCCGAAGTAGCTTCCATGAACACTGTACCTCTGTCATTACAGATTAATGTAAGTGTTCCAGAAGGCAGTCTCATTCCTTCTCCATTAGCACCAGCAGGTCTATGCTTAGTCAAATTGTAATTGTTATGGTTGTTCTTCTTGTTCTGTGCTTCAATAACATTTGCTTCCTGGTTTTCTCCTGCTTCTTGCATGTCTAATTTGCCAACTTTGTCTGAAACAGTGAGTGCAGTTCATAAAACAAAACTTCTGTAATTCTTATAAAACATATGCTGTTCCAGAATAACTAATAGAGCACCAATTAGTATATTCTTGATTTGTCCTGAGGTCCTTTTATCACTAATAACACTGTAATCATCTCAGATCTATGCCTTATATTCATGGTAGCCTGTCAATTAGTGTTTTATTTTTATTTTATTTTATTTATTTAATTCTTGATATCACCATACCTGCAAGGACATTTGCAGCTTCTGCCAAGAGCAACAAACCTGAGCAAAGCTCTCTTGAGTCATCTGGATGAATTAGACGTGGACTTGGCAGCAAGGACCTTGAGCAATAATCATTTATCAACAATTAGTTTTCTTGGACAAAGACATATATAACTTATCTGTCTCACCAAATTAACAAAAGAACCAGCATGAATAACCAATATCAACCTGTATGCATGTGAAAAAGAGCCTGATGCTGCAGAACCGTTGTTCAGAGAAACAGGATCAACAGCAGAGCCAGATAGGGGATGCGATACTCCAAGAGGATTCACCTGCCAAACATTTTGAATGGTGAGAAACTTACCAAAATTAAAAATTCAGTCCATGTGGTTTGATGTTAAAGAATGCTGTGTTAGAAAAAAAGCACTTTGGTTTTTGCCAGTAAAAGAGTAAATTCAGTACTTGAGCAATACAAAGAATTAAATACCTGTTGATAATCAGCTAACATCTGATTAGTGTCTTTCTCAATGGAAAGGTATTCCTGAATTTTTCTCTTTCTTGATTCCTGGGAGAGGCCGTGACCTGATAGTCTCATGGCATCAGATATTACAGTGTTGACCAGTCGGACGTAAAGTTTTGTATCACTACTATGTTGACCAGATTCACCAGAAACATTCATGCTTCCTCGACATCCTTCAAAATTCTTGCAGATTTTGACATTACCGTTGTCTCTTTTAGAAATGGCAAAACTCTCTTCACATCCTTGCGCATTTTCATAGAGTTTTTTACTCTTACACATGGCAGGAAAAATCATCTCCTTGTACCCTTCATAATTCTTGCAATCCGTGCATTTGCAGTTCTCATAGCAGAAGACATTAGCTCGGAAGCACTCGCAATACTTCTTTAGGCACTCACTTCTCTTGCAGTTGCATCCTCTGTTGTGTCTTCCCACCCAAGGCGTGTCCCCTGCATCATCCTACCCACAAATGATCCCAAATACAGACATAAGTCCGAGGATGAAATGAGAAGATAACCTGAAACTGAATATTAAAACAGGTTGAGGATGCATCACTGCTAAACTCCACCTTTTTCTCCCATACCTTCACCCCTTAGTACAAAGTTAAACTGAGAAGATCAGAACCTTGAAAGATCCCACACCTACCCCATTATCCTGTGGACTACAAGGACTGCTTGCAATCTTTGGCCTGAACGCAAGTGGATTACGCTCTAGGATGATTTCTGCAGCTGCTTTCCGTAATTCCTCACAGGCAACATTGTTGTGACAATGAGAGCAATTGCACCCGTTACAATATGCCCCAATAGCAAAGCATTCACAGTACCTGACCATTTGTGTTGTGTGTAAGAGATCTCTGAAAAATTAGTTTATGAAAAAGCAAATGCACTTCATGTCCTCTATATACACCACAGTTTCACCAAGACTGCTCCTTGGATTTCAGGGGAATTATCAGCAACTATGAGTATGAAGTTACTAAGGATAGGGGGGAAATGAAGAAGAAATGAAGAATTAAAGTGAGATATCCCCATGGAAAGTGATTGCAAAGAATTCTTTATAGAAGACAGAACTATGAAAGGACTAATGACACCCTTAGATAATCTATTTCTTGGAATCAACCTCCAAGCCAGCATCCCAAGTTTTTAACGCTCATTCTTGATAAGGCATCTATTTTATTTTATTTTTTTCACTGCTTTAAAATAAATTATAAGACTGAAAATACAGGGATCATCATTTCACTTACAAAAAATATAGCAAAACTAAAACCAGTAACATGGAAAATTTCTGGAATGCTTAGACAAATTAGCAAGTCAATTACATTATTTAAAAAAGTGCCATTAGTTACTGTTACCGAATGCATTATTCATGCTTCAATGACATTATTAAGTACTGCACTCACAGCTGCAAGCATTTTGATCGTTTGCACCGGCATTGTTTAGAACCACTTTTTGCTTTGATACTGTCTTGTGGCAGAGTTACTAGTGATTCTGACTTTCTGTTCGGAATAACAAAGAGCAAAGAAAGTAAGACATTAAATTACAGCCAAGATTGATTTCAAGCAAAAAGAGATTGCCAGAAGCATTACTATAAGCTAACACACTTCTTTTCGCATAAGAATCCAAATAGAAGATATCTCGGATCTTAAAATCAAATTAATCTCACCATTGGATTATGAAAAAGATATTTCTCTTCAAAAATGCTAACAATATAAGATGAAAACGTTCACTAAAATGTGTTCTTTGTTTTTCCTTTCGAAAGTGATTTAGAAGGAAAATAGAGCTGAAATAGTACATGCCAAAGAATCATTAGATTCAGAACAGAATAAAGCATTATAGTTAATGAAGGTGCCTAAACAACCAGATTAATATCCTAAGATGCAATTAACTCACTCAAATAAGCCTAAATTAAGCAGAAACAGAAACAACACGAAACAAAACAGTTCAAATCTTTCATATTTTTTCTTTTTCGATTCCTTATTCATTCTAACTTCTCAGCAATCAAACAGAGAAGGAAGCTAAAATCTCACACTTACTTCTTTTAATTTAGTAACAACCACAAGAAATTAAACAAAAAATGAAGTATTAGTTTAGAAAACTAACGACGCGGTGAGCGAAGGTGGCGGTAAAATAAGCTTAGGATTCATCTTGAACGGTAAAATCTCGCTCTTCACAGACAACGGCGGGGTGGTGACCGGATACAAGCCGAACTCCGTGAAGACAAGCTGTTTAACCAGCTTTTTTCCCTGGAAAAGAGATCGTTCAGCATCTGTAACTGTAACCATATCCTCACTCTCTCCACCTCCTTTTAGAGCGAATCCTGGAGCCGCACTAACTGTATCAACCGTTCTGTTAATCGATTCGACCGTTTTCTGAGAGGACATCTCCATTACCGATTTGCTGCGTTACTGTGTTTGGTAGATCAGAAAATCGAAGAAAAGGAAAGAAAATGAGAACGATGTCGTCATCATCTGTCTGCACTGTATAAAAGGAAAGAAATCACGAAAAATTTATTGATTTGAAGAGATGTTTTTGAAAATTTGAGCTGTTATAGCCAAACCAAGTGGACTCGGTAAGAAAATTTTCTTCTCGTTTCCTTCGTTTTGATCGATTTTTCCGATCGACCAAACAAGAAAGCCAAGTGCTTCACAAACTTGCAATTTCGGAGATTTGTACCTGGAGAGAGAAAGGTTGAGAGTTCAGAATGAAAGTTTGGGTTTTTTGGGAAAGAATTTTGAAGCGCCAAGAGCGACGATCTGGCTGTTTGGATTGCATGATGAAATGATTTATTAATTCATCGTAGTGCCGTCCGTTGAGTGCGGTTGTACACACATTCAGTTACGGATAAAAATAGGAGGCTAGAATTTTTTGATATTTTTTTTATCTGTATTGGAATTACCGGTGAGAGAAGGAATTGCTCATGTATTTTATCGTTAATATTTAGTTTGATTTTTTTATTTTTAATAAAATATAGTTAAATCCCCAATTTGGTTTATCAACTATTATACGAACTTCTTATTTGATCCCAAACTAAAAAATTTTTTAATATAGTCCTTTCTGTTTACTAATTCGACTTTAAGTTGGTCATTCTGTTAAAAAATAATTGATATGTTCATTACTTAATAGTCATGTGTTACGTTAACAATGAGCCACGCCATTTGTTTTTGTACGAAAACACCAATTTAGGGATAAATAGCTAAATAATAGGGAGTAAATTAGGAATTCTTTTAGCTTATGGATCAAATTATGGGTCCGTATAATAGTTGATGGACTAAATTAGGGTTTAACCTAAAAATATTTAATTATAATAATTAAATTTTTTAATCAAATAAATATATTAAACAACATAAAAAATTTAATTAATGTTTATTTACTACAATATTAAATTTTTACATAAATATTTTGTTTTAAAAATATAAAATTCAAACTAGAAATGTTTTGAGTAGAAAACGAAAGAAAGGGTAGTTTCAATTTTTATCTCCTCTAAGTTCAGCCATTATGAATTTAAATCTTTAAATTAAATATTTCAAGTTTTAAGATGGGTAGAGAAAAATATACAAAGAAGAAGATTATATTTTATTGTATGATTTATAATCCATTATTGAGCATATTAAGAGAAGGCATCCAAACTTTTATTCTAAACCTTTTAAATTGGAAAATTATATAAAATTTAAAATTTTTATAATTATTTTATATAAATTAATGATTTACTAGACAACAAGTTTACCAAAGCTATAGTTAAATCAAACAAATAAAATTTCAATTTTTAATTTAATACGTTTTTCTATATATATATATATTTTTTGGTGGAATGAAGAGTAATATTAAACTAGAAGACAAAGATACAAAATAAACTAGTCTCTGGGATATACGTTTTTCTATTTGATGGTTGTAATTGTAAAGGAAAAAAATATTATACTAATGTTTTTAAATAGAATAGGATGCCAAAAAATAATACTAGTGTTTTGTGATTAATTTTATCTTTGATAGTTACCTATGAATTGGAAATTTTTTTTATTTCAACAATCAAGATGTCTTTAAATAAACTTTTTGCGCACCTTGAGACTTAGGTGGAATCAAAAATAATTTTTAAGGAAGCAAAACAAAACCTTAATTAAGAAATTATGTGTTTGTATATAAGTTGAAAAGTTAATCAAAGAAAATTTAAGTTATCAGTAAATACTTTGTCAAAAGGCAATATTAAATAATTTTTTATTCAATTAATTTTTATTTTTGTCATCTTTCTTATCATCTATATTTTCATCATCTTTCTTATCATCTATATTTTCATCATCTTTCTCATTATCACCTAAAAGTAATCTTTAATAATAAAGAATAATTAGAATGATAATAAAATT